AAAAAAAAAAAAAAAGCCACATGTATAATGCTTTATTATTTTTTAATGAATTAAATATATTTTAATTTCTCAGTTTTATTCTAATACTACAAATATCAATAGATATAATCCACTTAAAGAGAAGCCCTTTGAGGTCTTCTAATTTTTTAAGTCTAAAAGGGGTACTGAGACCAAAAAAATTAAAAACCACTTTTCTAGACTTTCCTATATTCATGTTTTGCCATACAAAACTTTTCATTTTCTAATTATCTATGGAAGAGATGTTGCTGCCCTAAAGATAATTTCAGGCTGGGCGCGGTGGCTTATGCCTGTAATCCCAGCATTTCGGGAGGCTGAGGCAGACAGATCACTTGAGCCCAGGAGTTCAAGGCCAGCCTAGGCAACATGGCAAAACCCTGTCTCTACCAAAAAATAATTTTTAAATCTTTAGCTGGGTGTGGTGGCAAGCACCTATAGTCCCATCTACTAGGGAGGCTGAGGTGGAAGGATCATTTGAGCTCAGGAGGTCGAGGCTGCAGTGAGCCATGATCGTGCCACTGTACTCTAGCCTGAGCAACAAAGCTGAGACCCTGTCTCCAAAAAAAAAAAAAAAAAAAGATAATTTCAGAAGTTTGTCTTGATAAGAACAAAAAAAAAAGCCAACAATTTTAAAAAATTGTCTATTAATTTAAAAAGGAAGTTATTACATTTTCCTAAAATGAAAACAATAACAATGTCAAAACTAAAGTGCTGAGCTAACAAGACCACTAGCTACAACCTTTGTGCATCAGTTATAATCAGTTGTGTATAGGAAATCCTCAAAAGACCAAAGGTGAGGCTCTTTGAGAGGCCTCTATCCAGCTTTGCTACAGAATAATCCCAATTCCCAAATTTATAGCAAGACTAACCAGGATGCTTATAGGCGATTCTCTGTTCTACAATCTTAACATTTCTACACAAAAGTTTTGTTGTTGTTTTGTAGAAATGGTATCTTTACAAAGCTATTCTGATCTAGACCTCCCGGCCTCAAACGATCGTCCTGCTTTGGGCTTCCAAAGCACACTGGGATCACAGGCATGAGCCACCACACCTAGCCAACAATAAAAAGTTTTATGTTTCATCTGAACAGTTCAGTATATCTACTGCTGCCAGGAAATACACAAACATTAAGATACTAAACTCCCATTTGGATTCAACTTTTACATTACTGTGACTGTAGATACACCAATCCATGCAGTTATTAGGAATCTTCAGGATGCATGATGTTAGTTATTGAAAAGACAAGCTAGAGGGAAACATCTTTGAAAAATAGTTTTTGAGGCCACTAGAAGCAATAATAGATAAAATTTTGCATTTATGGCTCAGTCTAAAATTAAGATGAAAGGCTAGGCGTGGTGGCTCACGTCTGTAATCCCAGCACGTTGGGAGTCCGAGGTGGGCAGATCACTTGAGGCAAGGAGTTCAGGACCTGCCTGGCCAACATGGAAAAACCCCATTTCTACTAAAAATACAAAAATTAGCCAGGCATGGTAGCATGTGCCTGTGTAGTCCCAGCTACTTGGGAGGCTAAGGGACAAGAATCCTTTGAACCCAGGATGCGGAGATTGCAGTGAGCCGAGATGGCGCCACTGCACTCCAAACTGAGCGACACAGCGAGACTCTGTCTTGAAAATAAAGATGAAAAAAACATATAAAAATATTGGCAACATTACAGTTAAGGGCCCTAAGTCAACAAATGTCTAATTCAAAAGCTATTTAGCCCTAGGCTACTACAATAGCCAAGCAATGAATTGGGCAAGGACCTTAAGTAGAAAGGCACCTAAAGACTAGAAGGAAACAATGCTCCTTATTTATTAATTCAACATATACTGACTAAATTGTCTACTACTTGCAAGACCCTGAGCAAGCTAAGAAGCTCATGACGAGGTGGGAAGCCAATTTCATAGGGAGAAGTACACATAAATAGTACAGTAGCTTCTCTAGACAGAATGGAAAAAATTTCATCTGAGAAGTGCTAGAAGAGTAGGCCGGGCGCAGTGTCTCACGCCTGTAATCCCAGCACCTTGGGAGGCTGAGGCAGGCAGATCATCTGAGGTCAGGAGTTTGAGACCAGCCTGGTGAAACCCTGTCTCTACTAAAAATACATAAATTAGCTGGTGTGGTGGTACATGCCTATAATTCCAGCTACTAGGGAGGCTGAGGCAGGAGAATTGCTTCAACTCAGGAGGCAGAAGTTGCAGTAAGCCAAGATCGTGCCACTGCACTCCAGCCTGGGCAACAGAGTGAGACTCTGCCTCAGAAAAAAAAAAAAAAAAAGGGTTTAGAGAACATATTCTGAGACTGAAGGCGTCTGACCTGGGTCCTAAAAACACATACATATAAGATTTCAACATGTGACTATTGCGAGTGAAAGGCATCCCAGGAAGAGGGAAAAAAGCATACATTCAAGGAACAGCAAACACAAAATTGCTTCTATAGAATTTATGATGCACTCCAGGAGGAGAATTAACTAGAAAATTAAGTTGGAAGCAAAAATTAGAGGGACTTATATGACAGGGTAAGCAATTGGGGGATTTTTTTTATTTATTGGTTTTTTTGTTTTATTTTGTTTTGTTTTGTTTTTTTGTAGGCAAAGGGAAGCCAGTGGGAGGTTTTTAAACCCACTGGAAGATTTATCATTGTAAGATAAGTCATCAGATGATTCTCTTAACATTACTGTGGCTTGAACAGGATAGAAATGGGAGAGCAGTTAGTACACTATCACAGCAGTCCAGGAAGGAAATAATTAAGAGCTTGATGTGGGGTGGGAGCTAGGAAAAACCTACAAAACATGCTACAACCGCTTCACTAATGATACAGTTTTAAATATTTTGAAAACTTAATTTATCACATAAAACAAGATTGACATACACACTATTTCCATGAAAAACCATTCACTTCATAGGCAGTGTTTCATCATACTCAAGGGTGCTTCCTTTTTAAAAAGCTGTTAGGAGTAACTAACCATATTCTACATTAAAGCTACAAAAGGGGTAATAAAGAACAGCATATGTATCCTTTCAGTATTCTCAATAGAATCTCAGTATGCACAATTTCATTCAAGGATGAACATTTTAAACTCAAAAGTTTATTTCCACGGAAAATAAAGTTTGGATCATAATTTTCTATACAACCTTATAAGACACACGTCTCCATATAGTTTTAATAGTCAACTTTTCTTAAAATTATTTTTGGACAACTCAACTTGGCCAGTAGTTTTCTACTAGGCTAATATATTTCAACCATAAATGCATTCTTCATTTTATCCCCTCCTCCCTACTCACCTCCCACCCAACAAATTCCCTTTGTATGTCTGCAAGGCAAGATACTATGTAATGCAGTATAATTCTAAGGCAGTTTGAATATATAATTCTTACAACAGGAATCTAGAATTATTAACCTTATTTTTTACAATAAAAGTACCAGTGATGTACTAAATTTCTATTCATATGTATGACAAATGTATCTAATATGCTTTACCATTAGGGGGAAACAAAGGGGAAAAGACACAATAGATGGGTGGCAAATCTTACAAACTTTACAAAACACTGAAAAGCTGCATCTGGATTGCAGTCACAATTACAAAAGCAAATAAAGAAGGCTCTGAAATGAAGGAAGAGAAAAAAATCTTAAGTGATCATCAAGAGTGAAAAAGGTTTATTTCAATATTAGTTTTTAGTACAGCACCATTTAACACTATGACTAATTGAAAAAAAAAACAGGATAATTCACTGTTTGCAAGGACACAGGAAAAAATTTCTACATACCTTCTATAAGACAGTTACACTTCTTCACACTTGCATGGCTCAAATCCTTTCAAACGTTTCCAAAAATACAGTCTTATAATAAGCGAGGTTCCCCAATGACACACATTTATTCTGTAGGCTTAGCCATTACACGTTTTAAAATACATAAAGAATTCATCCTCGACAGAAACAAGGAGTCACAAAGGCTCTCTACTTATTCAGAATCATTACATAAAGCACCATCTGTAATTGCAAACAGTGTTTGATAAAATCTGACCGCTAATTATCATAAAATGGGGTAGACTTTAAAAGAAAAAATCAACTTTTCCATTTTGCCTTCCTTTTCCTTTCCTACCAAATACACAAAATGTCTGTAATAGCGTCAGACAGAGCTTTAAAATAAAAATCTAGTACTATATATGTATATTTTACATTACGTGTATAGGAACACATATGTACATGTCACATATTCACAGGAAAGAGAAAGGTTCCCTCGTTTATGGTTTTTTGTTTTGTTTTTACTTTGGGAATTCAAGTTACATTAAACCCTATCCCATAAATTAAGTTAAATCATCATTAAATTAAAGAGTAATAAAATATTGCACGTAGATCTCTCTGAGCGACTATATTCTGAGAAGGAAAACCTCAGACTAAGACCATGGCTGAATACGAACGCCCAATCCCTAAAAAAAATCACTAACCGGCATTTGTTTCTGCAAGAGAAAAAGGGAGTCTTACAGTGAATAATCACATAACTCAGTTTCAGAAGTTAACCGGGGTAAAACACAACGAACCAAATTAGACAAATGTATGAAAGGACAAGCTTTCAAAAATTCGCCCAAAGTGAAAGACTGGTTTTAACCCCGGGATATAAAACATCCTTTGCAGGTAGAAGAGTCTTTAATTGAAAAAGAAAAAAATAAAAGTGGCGGGCACAAGAAAAACCTGAACGACACGCAAAGGCAAAGTAAAAAAATGATCATTTAAAAAAGGAGTCTCTCGTCCCACCCCCACTTCCAGCCCCCACCCCCACCTTCGCAGGACAATAGGTTCAGGGTCCTAACTGCAAACTTTAAACGTGTAAACCAGAAGCAGTTTTACCGCAGCTGTAACTGCAAATCTTCCCCTCATCCCGAACCTAGCGCATCCAGCAATACTTCTGCCCTGAAAACATCACCAAGCTCTTGGTAAATACAAATCAGACCCATCACGAGATTTTTTTTTTCTCCCAAGTACCTGGAGGATCCATTTCAATATAAAATATCAGTTCTGTCGAATAGGGCATCATCACCTCCCTCCAGTCTGCGTCATCGCGGTCCATACTCCACACCGTATTGTACATCGCGCTGTCAGGGGCAGGACGTCAGGAGATATATAGAAGGCATATATTTTTTATCTGGTATTTAAAAATCTAAAAATATATATCTGCAAAAGTTCCACAGGGAAATGTACTTCGGGGTTTTCAACGGCCAGCGCTAGTCCAGCCAAACTACCAGAACAGGGTCCTCCCCCTCTCTCCTACAGAACCCAACAAAATGCCCCCGAACTTTCAAGCTATGGGCTTTTCTCCTCAGAGGGTTACACAGAGGCTTTGGGGACGGAGGGCAGAGGTGTTAAAAATCGGCTTCCCAAAAATCCTTTCTACACAGTCGCTCTCTGGAGAGAAAAGCTCCCACCGCCTCCAAATCTTTCTGCGGAAGCCACTTTTGTGTCCTTCGGGGGGAGAATGAAGAGGAAAAAAAGAACACGTTGGGAGAAAGCCGGGAAAGTGACAAAGGAAGGCAAAAAAGGGGGCTGGAGATTGCGTTCAAGTTTCGGGGTCCCACTGGTCTGCAGAGAGCGAACCCCGCAGGGGCCGGGACTCCGGCTCCTCTCCGGTCGGGCTCGGAACCGAAGCTGCCCCAGCCTCGGGAATGGGGCCGGCCAGAAAAGTCCAGTCAGTTCGGCTTGTCTGGGCGCTCCTGCTGGGGTATAAGAAGCAACCCGCCTGCACCGACTGCCCTCACGCTTTCCCCCGACTCCAGCCACTAGAGTTTTATTTTAACGGCGCGGAGGGGACACCCTCCCCGCCCCACGCTGCCCACCCGCTGAGGCGCCACCCAACCGCGCCTGGAGGGGTAAAAGCAGGCATCACTACCGCCCCTTCCACGCTGTCCCGCCTCGAAGTACCGCGATTCTGTCAGGTGCCTGAGAACACCTTCAAAAAGCTGCCCTCCATCTCGACTTTCACGTCTCCCCACCGCTCTCTAGGCTTCGGCTCCCCAATCAGCCATCCGCGCTCTCCCCTAGCCTCAATCAGAATGGTACGGCCCGGGCGCTGGCCGCACTCCAGGAGTCAGTGCCGGGAGCACGCGAGCCAGGCGGGGAGGGAGCGGGGCGAGGGAAGAGAGGCAAGGTGGGTGGTGATTGGCTGAGGCCGGTTGCCGGAGCCTGGAGCCTGCGTCTTTTGTCTGCCTTGCTCCTGCGAAGGAGCGGGAGACGGCTGCGCGCCCCAAGCGGGCCAATCAGGAGAGAGCCGGCGCCGGCCGGTAAGGCGGCGATTGGTCAGAGCCCAGTTACTAAGCGGGACAAAGGCAGAAGGGGAAAAGAAAAGAAGAGAAAAAAAAGAAAGAAAGAAAGGAAGAAAACGCAAACGGCGGTTACTGACAGGCTGGGCAAGCGCTCGGGGCCTCAAGCTGCCTGGAGACGGGCGAGGCTCCCGCTGAGGCTCGGTCCGCTCGGACTAGTGAGGAGAGGAGCCAGGGAGGACCTGCTGGCGTGAGACGCCTCTGCCCGGAGACTGGCCGCGGGGGAGGGGAGCGGATACAGAAGGGGCGCGTACTGTCAGTTGGCGGGGCGCGCGCTCTTCTGCTCTTTAGGAGGTCTCCGGGCAGACACCTTCCCTACAGACTCCTTCACCTTGCTGGGACAGCCCTCCCCGCACCCTTGACAAGTTGTCAAAGCAATGGTCCCCAAACCCCACTTGCAGGAACCTTACCGCTCAGTGAGACGATGTGCCCCTGGCTCCTGCAACCTTCTTGGCTGCTACCTGAGCCCACTCCCTGCTTCTGCCCTTACGCAGTTGGGCATTTCTGAGGGAGGTATTTCGCAGTTCCTCCGTGCTTGCAACCCAAGGACTTTTGAACCCAGAGGTAACTCCCCATGCCTAAGATAGTGAGAGGTGTCAGCAAGCCCTCCAGCTGGAGTGCTCAAACCAAAAAAAAAAAAAAAAAAAATTTTTTAAAGTATTGGAATTACAGTGCATGTGTAATTTCTAAGATAAATCACAGGTGTTGGGATCTCTCACCAAAAGGGCTCTATTCTGTT